ATGCGAAACCCTAGCCCTACATTGAGATTCTAAGTGTTTTCTTCCTTGGTTAAGCTTGAAGGTGTCCATTGATTGCAAGAAGGTGTTGTTCCAATCATTTCCAGGAACTAGCAATCTTCTTTTCCTTCCTTTTGGACCTTTGTGAGTATTCAAGTCCGTACCCTAAGTAGGGGGGGGGGGGGAATTGATTATTCATGGTGAAGGGGCGTGGGACAACCCAACCTTTTGTTCAGTTGTGAGAGCTAGGAGATACTTTCAATACGGGTGTACTAGATTTTTGGCTTATGTTGTGGATACTTGGGTTAAGAAAAATAAGACTATTGATGGCATACCTATAGTTTGGGATTTCCCAATGTGTTTCCCGAGGATTTGCTGGTAGTGCCTACTGAGAGGCGGGTTGAGTTTAGGATTAGTTTAGTTTCAGGTGTGGCTCTAATAGCCAAGGCACCATATCGTCATGCACCTCTTGAGATGCAATAGTTTTCCACCCAGCTTTAAGAGCTATTAGACAATGAGTTTATTCAGCCGAATAGTTCTCCTTGGATAGCACCTATCTTGTTTGTAAAGAAGAAGCATGGGACGCAACGGATATGCATCGACTAATGAGAGTTCAACACGTTGACAGCGAAGAATTATCCACTTCCGAGGATAAATGATTTATTTGATCAGTTGTAGGGTGCATCTTTGTTTTCTAAGATTGATTTGAGGTTTGTATATCACCAGATGAGAGTCGGAGACGAGGATATTCAGAAGATGGATTTTACGACTAGTTATGGAAATTACGAGTTCATGGTGATGTCATTCGGGCTCACCAACGCACCGAAAGGGTTCATATATCTCATGAATCGGGTGTGTAGGCCGATGTTGGATTAATCAGTGATCGTGTTTATCGATGATATCTTGGTCTATTCTAAGACCAAGTAGCAGCATGAGGGTCACTTGCGAGTGGTTTTGGAGACTTTTAACAGGGAGAGACTTTATGCTAATTTCTCTAAATGTGAGTTTTGGTTGTGCGAGGTTCAGTTTTTTGGGGCACCTCATCAACCAAGATGGTATTTTAGTCGAAACAGCTAAGATCGAGGTTGTTATGCATTGGGAGGTTCCGAGGTCTCCATCTGAGATTCGTAGTTTCCTTGGTTTGGTTGGTTATTATCGGAGGTTTATCTAAAATTTCTCGAAGATAGTAGTATCTATGACTCAGTTGATGAAGAAGACCGTTGCGTTTCGTTGGGGGCTATGTGAGATCCCTTAGTTTCAGGCTTCAAAAACACTTTTCTTTTATGCTTTGAAAATGGTAGAGTCTTTTATAGAACTTTGTTGTGGAAAATCCCAGATAAACGTAAACATTTTTGGATATCAAATCATGTTTAAAAATACAACTATAAGGATGTCATAATCATTATCAAAAACATAAGTTACAAGTATAATTTGTTACAATTCATAATACAATAATAAGTCTCTTAATTATTCAACACACTCTTATCAATTTCCAGTAGTATTAGTACTGCTACATGTGATACATAAAGTTTGAATAGGTCAGGTTTGGGAACCTAGTGAGACACATATGGTTTTCAACCGACAATATTATTATATTATTCTGCAAACAAAAACATTATCAAACAATATAGATATGATATTTCTATATGTTAATAAACCACTAGTTACCCCACCAAGACAATTCTCACGTTATGAACCTATAACAACGAATACCAAATAATATCACCTAACCTTGATAGATTATTGTAAGCGACTGGTTTACTACACTTCTTAGAGGATTCATTCGCACGTGGTAAGTCAAATGGAAATGATAGTGGGTGGGGGGATAGAGTACTCAAATGAATATCATACATACTCGAAGGTATAGACGATTCACTAACACCTACATGAATGAACACCTAATAATGTTCCACAAGACTGTCTAGAATAGTCAGTGGTTGTCAAATTACTCTGTTAGATTACATAGTACGTAATAGTACTATGGTACGTAATAATACCTCGACACGTAATAGTGCCACATAATAGAGCCATCCTCTCAGTTCAAACATCTCACACACACACACCCTGTATGACACTACTCATTATGCAACTTAAATGCAATCTAATCATGATAATAAGAATAATAATTTAGCATGTTAATTAGACAATATTCAACCATATCTGGCACAATACATGTTATGTAATACGATCATCTTTGTATAAATATAAAATTAATACATATTCCAGATAATAAGAATTTGGTACACATATAAGCATTCATTTGGTATAAAATACTTTTATATAAATGTGTTTGAGATCATTACGATGAATTATATATTACTATATATAATCTTAATATTTTTAGTTTAATTTATTATTAATTATAATATAATACTTCATGGCTATCAACTAAGGATTAACTACTCAAGACAGTAGGGAGGCAGAATCATTTCAGCTTATAGCTTTTCTGAAATCCAACAACCAAACCAATGTGTCTATCATAGACACTGCTCCCGTAAGTAGATCAATCAGTATAATAATTGGGATTAATTATTAATCTTATAATTCGATTCATAATAACGACAATGTGTATACACTATATCAAGTTTCTCAAGGGAAGGTGTAACTTACCCGATTGGCCAAAAAACTCAGAAAATGGAAAGCGTAACTTCGACGTCTTGACTTTTCCTGAAAAGAATCTCCAACGCTCCAGCGCTTCGCTACCGATTTTCTAAGAACGAAGAAATCAAATCACGAATGACTGAAATCTCGAGTCTTGAGAGAGAAATTCTATCATAATTAAAAATGAAACGATGAAGGGGTGGTTTGGTATTTATAGGGGCCAAAACACTAGGAAATCACATGGCCTTATGGTTGCCTTGCATTTGGTAGTTGGTGTTAGTTTGGCTACTGCGCTAGAAACTACTATTTTCTTGTTATCTTCAGATAATTGTAATTTTCTCATACGGACTCCATTTTCGACGTTCTTTATAACCACTGTTACGTATTTTCGTCTACTACAACCTTCCTTTAGATCTCAATAGCTAAATCGTAATATTTTTACTTTATATTTTAGAATAAGACTGAAGTGTTGTATCTTTGAAAAATCATAAATTCTTCATACAAGCTCTGCTTCCAACGTTTTTTATATCCACGGTCTCGTATTTACGTCTACTATAACTTTCATTTACATTACTGTGGATAAAAACTAATATATTTTCACTTTCATTTTTATATTCTGATACTATCATTTTATAAATCTTTTAAATTTCCATAATAAAATTCATATTATTTACTAACTTTATTTATACTCTCATAATATGATCTTAAATATTATTTATACACCAATAATATTTATTTTATACATTATTCTTATTTAATTAATAAAAATAATATATGAATAATAATTAACGCGTACCGAATTATCTTGGTGTCACAGTCTGAGCAACAGTCATCATTAGAGAACATGAGGTAGAAGTTATGTGAGACACCGATTTTGACCCTTCCCGAGGGTATTGAGGATTTCATAGTCTATTGTGATGCTTTGATAAATGGGTTAGGATCTTTGCTTATGCAGCATGGGCGAGTTATTGTGTATGATTCGAGGTAGTTGAATCCTCATGAAGCTAGTTATCCGACTCACTATTTGTGTGGGGTTCGGTGTACTATCTACACGGACAACAAGAGTTTGAGATATCTGATGGATTAGCCAAATCTGAATATGATGTAGCGTAGGTGCATCGATGTGGTGAAGGATTATGGTTCCAAGATTTTATACCATCCGGGTAAGGCCAACATGATGGCCAATGCTTTGAGTCGCAAGGTGACTAGTACTACTATTATGGACTTGTGTTTGAGGATGAGTGTTGTCACTCCACTGTTAGATTTGATCAAAGGAGCATAGGCAGAGGCAATTAAGGAAAAGAACCGGAAAAACAAAAGGGTACTTGGTCAGATCTTAGATTTTGATATCGACAACTGTGGGTTGTTGACTCTTCATTGCATGATTTGGGTTTCTTATTTAGGGAGGACTAGGTATATATTGATGGAGGAGGCTCATAAATCTAACTTCTCGATTCATACAGGGGCAACGAAGATGTATGAGGATTTGAGACATGATTATTTGTGGCCCTAATGTATCTTGAGAGATGTTTGACATGTAGGAAGGTCAAGGATGAGCAACAGAAGCCTCACGACAAGTTGCAGCCTTTAGAAATCCTGTTGTGAAAGTGGGAATAGATTACCATGGATTTTATTAATAAGCTACCCAAGACTGCTTATGGTTTTGATACAATTTGGGTCATCGTGTACCAATTGACCAAGATTGCTCATTACATTGCCATTCAGGAGCATGCTTCAGCAGAGAAGTCACTAAAAGAAAATTTTGATTTTGCTAGGGAAGGGTGCTATGGAACGTATTTTCGTTGTTATTTGGAAACCGATAGTGCTATGGAATGCAGTTCCATAGCGAAGTTGCTACCACATTATCTATGGAATTAATTTCTTGTTGCGAGCATGGGACTGGCTATAGAAACTGTTACGGACTCCAAATCCGTTGGTATTATGCTACCGATATTTCTATGGAAAAAACATTCACATCAATTTTACGACGACAATTGTTACGAACACACTTTCCATCATACTGCTGCATTGGAATTAATTATCGTAGTTAATATGCGACGGAATTTTTCAATGGAAAATAATTTCATAGTTGCTTTGCTATGGAAGTAGCATTCATAGCTATTTGCTAGGGAATTCTGCAATGGAATTTGATTTATGTAGCTATTTTTGCTATAGAAAAAAAGCCTCGCTAATTTGTGACGATATTTGTTATGAAATTAAATTTCATAGCAAATTTGATAAGGAGTTCAAATTCATATCTATTCAGCTATGGATTAATTTTTTGTAAAGTATTTTACATTATAATGTCATATTATGAAATTTATTTGCATAAATAAAGCGTACACTCTAACTCCCCTATTCACAAACCCCACAAGCCGAAGAAGATAAATTTTGGAAAATCGATGTCATCGTCTTCAAGCAGCAATGTGAGACTGTGTGGATGTGGACATCCGGTTGGCCTATGGACGGCATGTATGCGAAAGAATCCTGGTCGGTGGTTCGTTGGCTTCACAAACTACAATGATGAAGACAGAAATTGTGGGTTTTTTCGTTGGATTGACCCACAACCTAGGAAGCATGGAAACTCCTCTTAGGGTCACGTTTCTCGTTTCGGAAACGCCATGGAAATGGATACGCCTACGATATGCCATGGAAACGTTTATGTGAAGTATCAGGTAGCCAGGAAACGTATCGGTGAAGTTTCCGCAACGTTTCTATTTTACTTTAGGTTTTGCATGGGCTTTTTAAGTCCAAAAAAGACTAATCGGCTATACATATTCATTATTACCCTAAACTGATCGACTATCCCATTCCCAGTCGTCTACTCGTCTCGTCGATCACTGATCAGACGATTGCTGATTCATAATTCAACAATCACCATTCTCTTAATTCCTAAACCGATTGATTATGGCTTCTCAAGAACAAGAAACACAAGGATCATCATCAACTACATCAATAAACCAACCTCCATTGTGGGACTATGTGACTAAACCGGAAAATTTTGTTGGAGCAGAAGGATGATGGAAATTTAAGTGTAACCTTTGCGGTGAAACCCGAAAAGGATCATAATCTAGAGTTAGAGCACATTTGCTTGGTATAAAAGGTAATCTACTAATCCTTGCAGTGTTTAGAGTCCATTGAAGTTTAACAGGAAGGCAAATTTCATCCATTGAAGTTAATTTTCATATGCATGACTATAGTTAATTCATTAATGATAATATACAAGTACCTTCTGTTAATATATTCCTATATATTTTTAGAAAATTTTACTGTAAACTTGTCATTAATTGCAGCCTAACTTCATGACAAGAAAAAGTGATTCCTAAATGTGCAGTAAAAAAAATATTATAATATTGTGTATGTGTGTGAGTGATTATTCTGATTTTCTGATTTTATCATCCCTGGATTTCTATTTGCAATATAGGTACTGGGATTTCTATTTGCAAGAAACCACCAGCGACTAAAAAACTTAACATGAAACGATATGAAGAGAAGAAAGTCGAGTCACAAGCGAAAGAAGTCAAGTTTCCATGTGAAGCTGGTATTGGATTTAAGAAAAGAAAAGGTATTTCAACATCTATTGAAAGAGCTTTTGGTGTTGAAATTAGGGACCCACTCGATCAAGAAATAGCAAGGATGTTTTATACCGGAGGTTTACCTTTTAATCTTGCAAGAAATCCACACTATCTCAGGGCTTTTCAGTTTTCTGCTAACAACAAAATTGTTGGTGATGGCTGGAGTGATCCTACAAGAAAACCTCTAATCAATTTCATGGCTACATCAGGTAATGGTCCTTTGTTTCTAAAGGTTGTGAACTGTTTTGAGGAAGTAAAAGATAGATTTTATATTGTTGAATTAACGAAAGAAGTCGTCGATGAAATTGGTCATCAAAATGTTGTGCAAATCATTACTAACAATGCAGCAAATTGTAAGGCGGTTGGAGAGATTATAGAGAGTCAGTTTCCTCACATCTATTGGACACCATGTGTTGTTCATACACTTAATCTTGCTTTGAAGAACATTTGTCCACCAAGGAATGTGGAAACAAATGAACTAACATATGAACAGTGTAGCTGGATAAAAAAAAGTTCACAACGATACGCTTGCAATAAAGAATTTCATCATGAACCTTAACATGAGACTCTCGATTTTCACCAAGTTTACTCCTCTTAGACTGCTTTCGGTTGCCGACACTCGCTTTGTCTCCATCATTTTGATGGTCAAGAGACTGAAACTTATCAAAATGGGTCTTCAAGTTATGGTCATAAGCGAAGAATGGTCTTCTTAATTATTAGATGACACTTAGAAAGCAAACTCTGTGAAAAAATATATTTTGAATGATGATTGATGGGACAAAGTAGCATATATTCTTAGTTTCACTCGACCTATATATGAGAGGATTAGAGTTTGTGACACCGACAAGCCATGTTTACACTTGGTGTATGAGATTTGGGATTCTATGATTGAGAAAGTGAAGATTGGGATATATAAGAAAGAAAAACATCCAAAATCTCAGATAAGTTGCTTTTATGATGTTGTGCATCGTATTTTAGTGGCTCGCTGGGCGAAGAATAACACCCCCCCCCCCCTAAATTGTTTAGCTCACTCTTTAAATCCAAGGTATATGATTTTAAATTATACACTTGATTTCTATTATATATTTATGTTTTAACTTTTTGAATGTTGTAGATATTATAGTGATGCATGGTTACTTGAGGATTCTACAAGATGTGCTCCACATAGGGATGGAGAAATTTCACAAGAAAGGATGAAATGTCTTCGAAGGTTGTTTCCTAATGATGATGAGTATAGCAAAGTCCTTGATGAGTATGCAATGTTTTCAATAAAGAGTGGTCCTTTTGAGGATTTAACAAGAATTTCAAAGATGGCTATTATGGGACCCAAGAATTGGTGGGTTAACTTTGGTGCTCAAACTCCTTTTCTCCAGACTTTGGCTCTTAGATTACTTGGAAAATCTAGTTCTTCTTCTTGTGTTGAGCGTAATTGGAGTACTTATGCATTTATTCACTCACTTAAGAGGAACAAGTTGACTACAAGTCGTGCTCAAGACTTGGTTTACATCCACAATAATCTCCGACTTTTGTCAAGGAATCCGAATGATGATGTAAAGATGTGGGATGTTGGTGGAGATGCTTTTGATTCAATGGAAGATGTAGGGTTTTTGGAGGTTACCGATCTCTCACTAGATGAGCCGGATTTTGAAAATGATTTGATTATTGATAATTAATTACCTTTGAAAGATTTAGTATTTTTGGAGTTTACACTTTACATCAAGATATATATATATATATATATATATATATATATATATATATATATATATATATTGGAATTTCTTTAATAGATGTATGGTTTTTATATTTTTATATGTCGTATCTTTGTCGTATCCGTTTGTTGAATTTTTGAGTTTTGTCGTTTCCCGTTTCCGTTCTGTATCCATTTCCCGTTGTCGTATCCGTTTCCATGCAACTTAGCCCACAACTCACGAACAAGTGGTATAGAGAGAAGATTTACAAATTGAGAGATCAAGCCGATGGTGAACATGCCCTTTTAGATCCCCCCCCCCCCCCAGGTTCTCCTATCAATTTTCATGTCAACGAAGTTTTCATTCAAGATACTAATGAACATGGTAATGGCCCTTGAGTTGAAAGTGGTCAAGTTGGAATTATCAAGTTCATGATAGTGTGTTTGGTTTGTTTCTTTGTTAGGATGTTGTATGCTTAACTATCCTATTTATGTAATTGAAAGTAAAGACTGGAATGCAAATGCATATTTTTTATTATGAACAATGAAATTGGTAAGCTATGGGTTGAATGATATGTTATTGAAGTGGTAATATGTTTTGTTTGTTTGATGTGGTTGCATTTATATGTCTTTGATACTACATGAAAGAATAAAGATTTGTTATTATGTTTATGTTATCTTGAATAATTTTATACCATTTCAATATAAAGAAACGGGATTATAACATAAAATGATTATTTAATTGGATATTTAATGAAAATATTGTACAAACAAATATCTCAAAAACACATGTCCCCTTTTACTAAATGCTTAAACTATACCAAAGAATGATAAAATTAAATTTTATTTAATTATCATCAAGGGAACTAATATACATAACATCACATTTACCAATTCGCATCCAAACCCTAAAAATTAGACAATGTAACCATCCATATATAAAGAAACAAAAACATATACTGATCAATATCTTCTTCCTCATCTTCTTATGCCTCCTATTTTTCTTCATTGCTCGATGTACTATACTCATAACCACACTCGCTGTTAGGAATACAATCATTGTGGTCATTATGAAAGTTCACCTTCTTCATCATTGTTATTTCCATTATCTGAACCGCTACTTGACGTGTTGTGATCATCATAATCGTCTATAGTTGGTAAAATCACTTCATTTGATTCAATTTCATCTTCTAGGAAAGAAACGCCTTTCTGATCATTTGCACGTACATCAGTCCAACCACGAGGTTTAACTTTAAATACAATCAACCAGTCCGAGTTGTTTATTTTCAAACTTGGGTAAGGAATGTAACACACCTGAGTGGCTTGCATGGATAAAACAAACGGCTCAAACTTGTTGTATTTTCTTTTGACGTTTATTTCAACCAATTTATATTGTTTGTGAACCTTAACACTTATGTTAGGTGTTGGATCATACCAATGACATTTAAACAAAACTGTGCTTTTCATTTGGTAACCAGTTTACTCGACTTCTAAAATTTCCATTACCGTACCGTAATAATCACCTCCTTGGCTACTAATACAAAATCCAGTATTCAATGTTATTTATGTTCAGACTGTGAGCTTCTGTTTGAAACTTGTAACCATTGACAAAGTATATATTATATAATTTTACTGTCCCCAATGGCATTCTGGAAAGGTCAAATATATACTTGTTCGTTATCATGTGCGTACGTACCTATATGACAAATGGTCAAGCACTAGTTATAACCATAACAAAAAAAATAATGAAATCAAAAAATAACATATTAACACCCACATAGTTTTTAAACCATGCTACAAAGTACTTCTCAACTTCAGCTGCAAGCTCCTGTTCATCATCCCCAATAAGGTCTTTCAAATCGCCTTCAAATATGTTGTATTACCATTAACATAACATTTTGAAAGTTACTATAATGTAATAAACAAGAGCAAGCATGTAAGTATTATTCAGAGAAATTACACAACAAATGAATATTATAATTAAAAGTGAAGTATTTATTAATTACCTGGTGTAATGTTTGATCTTATCTTCGTTAAGGAGTATGTAAGTTTGGGCAGCATGCAATTCCTCATTAGACAAGATTCTAGTCATGAATCTTCCATAATGATCACCAGGATATGAAAATATATCTAAATTTTCTTTGTTATCATCAGGTTGCTCAAATCCTCCTACATCATCATTTCGAGGAAACTTTCTATTACGTGTGGGGACACTAGTCTCGAAATAATGAGAGCAAAATATTGATGCTTCACGAAGCAAGTACGCGTTAACGGCGGAACCTTCCACTCGAGCTTTATGTTTCACATATTTTTTCAACTGATTTAGATATCTATAGTAAAGAAGATGAAAATTAATTTAGAGTTACGACTTACAAAAATAGCAACATACATTTCGAATTAACATACAAACCTTTCAAATGAATACATCCAACGATCTTGGACGGGACCAGCTATCCTCACTTCGTATGGAAAATGTATTGGTAAATGTTCCATGGAGATAAAAATACCAGGAAAAATATGGTCTCTAATTTACATAGAATTATCCGGATCTCGGCTTCAATCCTTTCCATGCCTTGTGTTGTGATTGATGTTGTTGTTAATGTTTTGAAACAAATACTCAAATCTATTAATGATTCCCATACAATTTTTGGCAACATGTCCCAAAATGCAATTGGCATCAACCTTTGCATAAAAACATGACAATCGTGGCTTTTCATTCTGAACAGTCTACACGCGTTCAAATCAACACACCTCCCTAAATTAGAAACATAACCATCGGGGAAGCATAATTTCTCCACCTATTCACATATGGATTTCTTTTGATTCTTGTCTAGAGCATAGTACCCTCTTTGATCCTCTCTGAATCCTTTTCTTTTTCTACAATAGAGTTTCAGATCTTTTCTCACTGCTGAATTGTCCTTTGTCTTCGTTTTGATATCCATTACAGTGTAAAAAAAGTTCTGAAATACATTTTTCTCAACATGCATTACATCAAAATTATGTATAATGAGGTTTGTTTTCCAATATGGTAAATCCCAAAATATGCTTTTCTTTTTCCAACCATGATCGCCACATGCGTTGTTTACAGCATCAACATTTAGTTCAGTCACTTGTAAGAAACCTAATTGTTCAATTTCCATTAAAGTTTGTTCACCATTCATAGTTGGAGGAGGACCTTCGATCACCTCACGTGTAACATCTCAAATTTCAAACCAAATTTTTCATTTTTAAATTTAGATAAAAACATTGTTCATAGAAACCATTCCAAGAATATCACAAGGTCAAATACAAACATCATCAAAATATCATGAATGTGTATAATCAAGCCTTCGCTCTCCTGCGATCCTCAGAAGTACATGAAACACATTTAATCAACAACTGTAAGCACGAATCTTAGTGAGTTCCCTAAAATACCACATACAACACATCACATACAACAACTATGGGTTATCAGCAACCCTAGAGACTACTTGAAGTCTTAGTGGACAAACAGCACGCCCTGTGGGTTATCAGCAACCATGGAGACTACTCATAGTCTCAGCATATATAAGGTAACACATATCACAATAACAACACATAGACCCATTTGTTCATCATACATATATATCTATACTACCACACAGGTAAGAATAAGTGAGGAGACTCACCTTGCACAAATGACTGATAGAAATCACTCCCGAACTGTCGGAACTAGACTCCACCTAATAATCACACCAATTAACCCTAAATAATAATTAAGGTAATTTTTATACTTCACCAATCCCAAGCCAAGTCTAATCCATAAGTTGGGCAAAAGAACATTTTTCCCCTCCTAAGATCCAACCCCCCCCCCCCCCCCACCCACACACACACAACTTGTCAAAAAGGCACACTTGGTCCAAAGTCAATGAAAGTCAATGTCTAGCTACAGTAGACACTTGTGTGAATTTCTTACATCCAGAGCACAACTCTTTATCGGCTGCCTCTAACATATCAAAGAATTTTTTATCTTTTTCATTTGGCCCCTCCTCATGATTACTAGTAATAAAATTATGAGCCATTGCATCTATAACCATTTCTCTATAACTACATTCATGACCTTCATTCAAAGTTGTGTTTGAATTATCCACCCCTAAAGACATATTGGCATCAATGTATGTTTCGCCATGTTTATCCTAAAACCAATAATCATAAGCAAAACCTGACTTGTACAAATGATGATTTATAGTATCAGGGTCTCTATATGGTATGTTATGACATTTGATGCATGGTCATTTCATTCTATCTTCATCCATGCACCTTTGTTGACTGGTAGCAAATTTTATGAATTTTTTCACTTATTATATGAAAACAGAAGAGATACAACTGCGATCATCTTTTCTTTCATACATACACGTTCTATTGGTGTTGTTCATGTTGTTAAATCTGTAAAATATACATTTAAATAACACAATATTAGGCCATATCCAATGCATTGAACTCATATGAGTCCAATGGATTGCCACATGTGCATTCCACTCATTATATAATTTTACCTATTAAACTCTAAACTCCATTAAACTTTATACAATTTAATAAATTGTCACATCATTTTTTTTTGTGTGTGTGGAGAGATAGGGTACAGTTCAATGGGTATTGAACTCCCCATTATATTGAGTGCCATGTCATTAACCCACAATGGGGATTTTGAGTTTAATGGGATTAAACTCTCCCATTAAACTACCATTGGAGATGACCTTATGTTCATTAATATGGCTTCGATTTGATAGATGAAATTTGAAGTAATCACATATATATGTACAATATATGTAAATATTGCAAAGGTACCTTTACTATAAGTGAATCACTTTGATGATTTGATAATAGCGTAGAATATTTGTACACATGTTTAATTGAAAATGAGAATTGCAGAAGACGGTTTCAAAGAAAGAGTGTATGAGGGAACTTTTGACAACCCTTGGTTGTGATTTTAATGTGGTGGATGGATAATAGGTCAAAGTATTT